ATTTTGATTGCACAGCGTTCTGGTGAGTTGCCCAAAACGTTCTCCATCCCTCATCTGTCTGACATTCCCAATCTGTGGAGTTCTTCCCAGTCAGCTTATCTTGTTCTCTCTTTTCATCTTCCAAAAGGGTGAAAGATAAGTACAAGCTCCAGCAAACGTTCAGTGTTAACCCCGTCTACCTCAGACATCCAAATTCTGGATCATCGACTGATTTCATGGTGAGAACTTTCGGCTTCTCCTTCAGCAAGAATAGGCTACAGAAATCCTTCCCCAGCCCCCTTAGTAATGACGGGAATCAGGATGGGATTCAGAAGAGAATTTGTGAAGTACCGTGTTTCCCCGAAAATAAGACCCTGTCTTATATGCTTTTTGAACCCTGAAATAAGCGCTTGGACTTATTGCAGTGGTGAAATGTAAAATTTGTTACTACCGGTTCTGTGGACGTGGCTTGGTGGGGGTGGGTGGGTTAATATGACTGAGTGGGCGTGGCCAACTTTTTATTTTACTTTTAAAAAAATGCTTTTAAAAGCCTCTGATGATCCCAGCTGACTTGCCTGATCGGCAGAGGCTTTTCATTTTTTTAAAAAAGCCTCTGACGATCCCAGCTGACTTGCCTGTGAACCCTGCCATACGGTCCTTCAATTCAACAATAAATTTTACTCAGCTGCCCACCTCTCCCCTTTTATCTGAGCCATTAAACAGAATAACAGAATTGGAAGGGACCTTGGAGGTCTTCTAGTCCAACCCCCTGCTCAAGCAGGAAACCCTATGCCCTTTATTAATATTAATAATGATTTATTCTTATTAAAAATTATCATGCTTTCCTTTGCAGAATTGGCAAATCCCGCTGAGCCGAAGGTTTCGCTCTCTAAAACTCTGGTTTGTGATTCGCTCATTTGGTGTGAAAAAGCTTCAGGAGCATGTCAGACATGTAGGTGAATTAGAAAAATAAATATAAATAAGAATACTTTGCTGCCCTCAATAGCTACTGTATTTTTCGGACTATAAGACGCATGTATCTTTTTTGATGAGGAAAACAAGAAAAAGAAATCTGCCTCTGCCTCCCAGCAATTTTGCCTCGTTGCAGCAAACAGCAAACAGCCTGCTTTACTTTCATTTTCGTTTTCAGCATAGCTTGATTAGCACAAGAAAAAAAAATCTGCTCCAGCAATTTACCTCCTTGCAGCAAGCAGCAGAGACCTGCACAAAACAGCTGAGAGCAAAACAGCTGAGAGTCGGGAGGCCGATCCAATCAACTTGTGCTAATTAGGCTGTGCTGAAGCTGAAAGGAGCTGTTTCTTCTTGCTGCTTGCTGCAAGGAGGTAAACTGCTGGGAGGCAGAGACCAAAAGGTGGGGGCCAGTGGGTGGGTGGGGCTACATTCGGTGTATAAGACGCACCTAAATTTTCACCCTCTTTTAGGGGGGAAAAAGGTGCGTCTTATACTCCGAAAAATACGGTAACTGTGCTCTACTGCACAACAGGAGATTTCGGCAAATGATATTTGAGGATCAACTTTGATCAGAGCAGTTGATGGACCAGTCCTTAACCTGTCAATCCTGCTGAATTTTGAGATTGGGATTGACAAAAAAAAAAAAAAATAAATCACTGGACATCATATCTTTAAATTGAGAGACTCCAGCTGTAAAATAATTTCTAAGGGGAATCTTTCTTAAGTCCTACAAAATACAGGCAGTTCTCGACTTACAACAGTTTATTTAGTGACCATTCAAAGTTAAAATGGCGCTGGAAAAAAAGTGACTTATGACCAGGGATGGGCTTCAAAAAAGCAACGGTGGCAAGAAAAGTCGTAAAATGGGGGAAAAACTCTCTTAACAAATGTCTCGCTTAGCAACATAAAATTTGGGGCTCAATTGGGGTCGTAGATCGAGGACTACCTGTATGGAGCAATCTGCTCTCCTACAAATTACAGGCAGCCCTAGACTGTTCAAAGATTGTCACCATAGCTGTGTTATTGGAAATAATTATTAGCTTTGTTTTCGGAAATCCCAGGGCACTGAAATGGCCAAGTATTTTGAGTCACTGCTCAGAAGCAACCCCTTGTTTGAAATCCCAGCTAAGAGGCATCTCGGACTAGTAGTTTTTCGTCTAAAGGTAACATTTTCCTATAGTATTTTACTATAACTTATGCCATTCTCTTGTAATGGGCTTCCTTCTCTCTGTGTTGGACTTCAATCCCCAGCATGCTGGCGGGGAATGATGGGCACTGAATTCCAGCTCATCAGAACAGTGTCAAGTTGAGAGTTATAACAGAATAACAGAGTTAGAAGTGGGGAGAGGGAATGGAGCTGGTAGAGAGCGAGACAGAGGTGGACCTGGACTGTCCGTCAGCCCTCAGATGGAGAGACAACAGCCCCCAGGTCTGGAGGTGGCTGATGAGGAAGAGAAGGAACCGCTGGGTCACGTGCCTGACACATGGATGCACAGGAGGCAGAGGAGAGGAGAGCAGTGGAAATCTATGGGCCGGTCCTTGGGATGGAAGAGCCACCACTGCTAGCAAAGCCCCACCCTAGCTCTGGGGATAAAAGGCAGGAGGCGGAGATGAATAGGTGTGGTAGACAACTATTCATCTTCCAGCCAACCAATCTTGTTAGCCTGTGAGAGAAACTTTTTGCTGGGGCTGCTGGTGCTCCAAATAAAGGAATCTTTGAGTTAACTTCAGAGGGTTTGTCGTGTTTGGGGAACTGGGTCAGAACAGTACCTCCCATAGCCATCAATGGTTGATGGAATGGCGGTGAAATGACAAAAAGACAAAGCAGGATTAATAATGTCTTTCAGCGGTACACGTGTATGTATCTTAAAGATTCTTTCTCAACGACTATCCTGAGAAACTCCATCTTTCCCAAACAGGGTCCCAATTGGATGACCGAAAAGCTCTTAAAAGACCTCAACAAATCAGGAAAGCTGTTTGTCATCCCGGCAACCGTTCAGGAGAAGTTGATCATCCGCTTCGCGGTAACGTCTCAATTCACCACGCCAGAGGATATTCAGCAAGACTGGGCCCTCATCCAACAGACGGCGGCGAACATCTCCAGTCAATCTCTCCTCATCCCAGAGGGGAAGGCCCAAATCCCCAACCAATTCGTCAGCTCCAGTTCAAAAGCAGCGGGTATCACTCTGCCTGTTTTCACAGAGAAAGAAAAAGGTAAAATTGTCCCTTTTGGCAGGATAATGACCCAGCCTCGGAGAGGGTCTCTCAACTCTTCCTTGTTGCTGTTGAATGAATACATCCCAAAGGCCAAAGAGCCTCATTTAGACGAGAGCTTCACAGAAAACAGTCGGCATTTGACCAACTGTGACTTGCCTTCTGTCTTGAGTTTATCTGCTCAAAGCAAGAAGAAAAAAACAGTCCGTTCCTTTAGCTTGGACAGCCCTTTGGAGAACATACCTTGCGCTGGCAGGAAATTCCTTTCCAAGATGCCCAAAGAAATCCTGATGATCAAGAAAGAAGATCTGAAGAAACAACCCCCGTTTTATCACATGCCCAGTTTTCCTGAATGCTCCATTCAGTGTGGTCTCCAATTGCCATGTTGTCCTCTTCAGGCTATTATCTAGCTCTTAAGAGCCTTCCTCCATAGCACGACAACCTAAGTCTGATTATTTTTATGCAATATTGTAATCTATGGCCCAGTAATATCATAATTGCAGATCTTATTTTTTTAAAAAAGAGCCTGTATACCGAGTAAGTTCATAAAGTAAATAAAATATTTAATCTTCGCACCTAGAGTTTCAGTTTTCATTTCTGCTGGCCACTTCCACGTATCGATTATTGATTTGGTTCACTCTATGTGTTGAGACAGGGCTGGAGTGAACCCCCTCCCCCTTTTCTAGTCTTTTTTAGTTTTAAATTGTCATTGGGTTTTAATTGAATTGTTTTAAATTGGGCCAGTTATGTAATTCTTTTAACAATTTTAAATTTTGTATTGGCATGTGTTTTAGTTCTGGCTGTGCACCGCCCTGAGTCCACTAGGAAAAGGGCGGTATACAAATTGAAATAAATAAATAAATAAATAAATAAATAAATAAATAAATAAATAAATATTGAATAACCCACTCCTAGTCAAATTCAAGCTACGTAAGCCACGAATCACAGCCAATGCAAACATTCAATAGATACTACCCATTGTCTTCCTTTGAGTGAGGCATGTAATCAATTAGGAATAACTATTAGCAATTACCCTCAACAAGGGTAGCCAAAGAGTGTGGTTAAAAAAAAAATGAAGATGGCAACAAACACAAAACACAGGCAGTTTGATTGCACTACCATCACCATCTGAATTTTTTAAAAAAATCATACTGCAGACATCCCAAGCTTATTCTGGAAAAACAGGGATGGCAAGAACAAGAGATGTTCAAGCATAATATGAGCCACGGTGGCGCAGGGGTTAGAGGGCGGTACTGCAGGCTACTTCTGCTGACTGCCGGCTGCCTGCAATTTGGCAGTTTGAATCTCATCAGGCTCAAGGTTGACTCAGCCTTCCATCCTTCCGAGGTGGGTAAAATGAGGACCCAAACTGTTGGGGGCAATCTGCTGACTCTGCACACCAGTGGTGAGATTCAAATTTTTTTACTGCTGGTTTTGTGGGGGTGGCTTGATGGGCGTGGCATGGCTTGGTGGGTGTGACAGGGGAAGGATACTGTAAAAACTCCATTCCCTCCCCACTCCAGGGGAAGGTTACTGCAAAATCCCCATTTCCTCCCGATCAGCTGGTGCTTGGGAGGCAGAGAATAGATGGGGGCGGGGCCAGTCAGAGGTGGCATTTACTGGTTCTCTGAACTACTCAAAATTTCTGCTACCGGTTCTCCAGAACTGGTCAGAACCTGTTGAATACCACCTCTGCTGTAAACGGCTTAGAGAGGGCTGTAAAGCACTGTAAAGCGGTATATAAGTCTAAGTGCTATTGGTATTGCTATTGCAAAGATTAATGAGATGGAAGAATGGGCGTTATGTTGATTAAATTACTTACGATCACAGTGGCATGATGAAAATCAGCAGAAACATTTTTATAGGCGCATCCGAGAGCAAGTTGAGGTTAGAGATACACAGAGAGTGACCTCTGAGTAATATACAAAGTTCACTTCTTTCTGACCTACACAGAGATCTTCAGCTTGCACCCCAAGTAAACAGCCACTCTGCCATGGTAGAGGATGCACGGATGCGGTGAGTTGAGAAATTGGCAAACGTGATGTATTTCAGAAGTAGAAGACTTAACATTGAAAAAGGGCTCCCAAACTCCGAGATGATAAGATAAAGGAATGTTTGGGGATTGCTCAGAGTATCTGCTACAACAGTCACGTTACATCAGTGGTGAAATCCAAATCTGTTTACTACCGGTTCTGTGGGCGTGGCTTGGTGGGCACGGCAGGGGAAGGATACTGCAAAATCCCCATTCCCTCCCCACTCTGGGGCCAGCCAGAGATGGCATTTGCTGGTTCTCCAAACTACTCAAAATTTCCGCTACCGGTTCTCTGAATTGCTCAAAATTTCCGCTATGGGACGTGATGATGTCCGGATGGGTGGAGCCTCCTGCCGCCACCGCTACCGATTCGTCCGAACCGGATATAACCGGCTCAATACCACCCCTGCCTTGCGGGATGGGAACATCCTCATTTTGCACATGATCAGAGATATACCCAAATAGGAACCATTCTCACAGCAACAACAATCTATGGTTATACAAGCTATTAACTTTTAAAGATTCCAAAACATGTAGAATATAACGATATTAGCAGATCAGTCTGGAAGTTGCAGAATAGCTTTGTTCCAAGGTCATCAGCACTATCTCTAAAATATTGACCAAAGGCATGGCCAGCTCAAAATCTAGGCATAAATGTGCAATTGGACTAAAAATCAATTTTCCACAATTTTCTAAAATTATTTAACAACATAATTTTTAAAAAACAAAAATAGTAACAAATTCAGAAGCACTATAGTTTCCGTCTGTTGCTACATATTGAGTTATAGATGTCTTCCGTCAAGGGTGCATATGCCTTCTCTTTATCATCCCCAAAATATAAGGCATCCTTGACAACTGCCGGATTGAATCCTTCTTGTGCTAACTGCACTTTCCGGTATTTAAATGTTCCAGTGACCTCAAGAGCATCCTATTAAAACAAGAAGAAACAGCACAGCAATGCTAAGTTGCGTAAAGGTCTTTAAAAAGAATTACTCTACTCTTCCTTTCCAAACATAAGGATTTTTGTTTCCCCATTATGCAACTACTTAAATAATAACCCATCATTAGAGTATAATCCCAGGAGTGGTGCGTGGCCTAGAGGTGGAACTCTCGCCTCACAATCAGGAGGATGTAAATTCCATCCTAGGTAGAGGCAGATATTTCTCTCTCTGGACACACTGAGAATATATCTGCTGAACAAAACTCCGCCCTCAGTGCATGCACGGGCGCCCCTCATGCCCCCCGCACATCTGTGTGCCCTCCACACGTGCCCCCCGCACGTGGCCTGCCCCCACGCATGCATGGCAGAGACCCAACAACCAACTGGCTGACGGGAGGTATGTGTGCATGCATGGCGGAGCTGAACTGGGGCAATGGCGTGTGTGCCCACAGAGAAGGCGTTGCATGTCACCTCTCGCACACATGCCATAGGCTCGCCATCATGGGATTACGGGGTCGTAAAATGAAGATGATTAGAGTATAATCCCAAGGCCATAGCTCAGTGAAAGGTTATTCTTGACATCGGTAACAGATCTGAAAAGGACTCTTGGGAAGCCTCCTTGAACATGGCACTGTTGTGGCCTGTCAGTGGCCTGTGCAGTTAGTAGCTGATTCCGACAGCGAGGAGGCTGGTGTGGTGCTGCTCCAGCAGCCTGTGCAGCTGGCACCCGAGTCGGACAATGAGGAGGCTGGAGAAGATGTGGTGCCAGAGGCGGGGATTCAGCCAGGGCCTTCAGAACCTCCAGAAGCTCCTTTAAGTGAAGAGGACGAAGAGGAGGAGCCTCTTCTCAATGCATGAGTGCGCAGAGCTGCGAAAAAGCAGGAGTGGCTCCTCAGGAGGAGGTCTCCTCGAGAGTAAGGCTTGGGGCTAAATGGCCACTCCCCTAGCCTATTTAAGGAAGGACGACGACTGAGGCAATTTGCAGGAAACAACTTTGTTCAAATTCCTTCGCGTCTTGATTACAGAAAACGTTTGATTTGGCTCTTGTTTCTCTCTTATCAGTTTTCCTGCAAATTGCTTCTGGGCATTCTGCCAACCACAGTAAGATTATGGTTATCTGAAATACTGTGCCTTAGAACTGAGTTATTATTCTTTGAATTCTTGTCAGCTGTTAATGAAGTTAACAGCCCTTGTTCAGAAAAGACTGATTTATTGTACTTGTGTTCGAACAACTACTAAGAAAGCTCATTAGTAGTCTTTAATTAGTAAATTAAGGTTTGTATGGACTTTGTGTGTGCTGCATTCTTTGGGGTCCGTAGCTGGGGCAGAATAGCATCCATCAGACATGCTGGAAGTTGAACTATCCAGCACTGTGTTTCTCATCCACAGCAACTTCAAGATGAGTGGATTTTAGCTCCCAGAATCCCCCAGCCAGCATGCTGGCTGGAGAATTCTGGGAGTTGAAGTCCATACGACTTAAAGTTGTTGAGGTGGAGAAAGACTGGTCTAGCATGGGTGCTGGGAATTCAGAGGATTGATCCCAGGACACCTGGAGGGCATTGGGAGAAGAAGCCTTGGGGAATCATTGGCCCTCAGTGATTAGCCGTTGAGAACTTCGAATGGTCACCAAACGAATTGGTTGTAAGTTGAGGACTACCTGTATTATAGCACAATGGGAGACACGCAAGTTCTGAGATCTTTCAAACGATGCAATACAGTCCCATCCATGAAAATTTTCGTTCTCTAATGGTTTTCGTTCTCTAATGCAAAGACTGCCACTTCCTATCCAATTGTGAGATATAGAGTATAGATGGAAGATGACCCACCTGAATCCTCACAAAATAAGGTCTTGCGTAAAGAGGCAAGTAATCTGTCACGTGTTTGTAGAGAATTTCCCCATTAAATTCACAACCATCTGCTAGTCGGATGGATGCCATGCCTATTCGGCCTTCGTGACCTACAAGAGAATTGCCATTAATATTGTGTTTTCTCAGCTTTTTTGCACTCAGTCTACGAAACTCATTTTTTTGGATTTAAATTTTTTTCAAAATCAAAGAGGAAATTTTAGGCAAATGGACCAGAAAACAAAAATCTTCTCAAGGATGTTCACAGAATATGGTTAAAAAAAGTCAAGATATCATCCATAATGATGCAATTGAAATTCTTCCTGTCCTTCCTTCCTTCCTTCCTTCCTTCCTTCCTTCCTTCCTTCCTTCCTTCCTTCCTTCCTTCCTCCCTCCCTCCCTCCCTCCTTTTCCTTCCTTCCTTCTTTCCTTCCACACTCCATCCATCCTTTTCCTTCCTTCCTCCCTCCCTCCATCCTTTTCCTTCCTTCCTTCCTTCCTTCCTTCCTTCCTCCCTTCTTCCTTTTCCTCCCTTCCTTCCTTCCACTCTCCATCCATCCATCCTTTTCCTTCCTTCCTTCCTTCCTTCCTTCCTCCCTCCCTTCCTTCCTCCCTCCCTCCCTCCCTCCCTTTCCTTCCTTCCTCCCTCCCTCCATCCTTTTCCTTCCTTCCTTCCTTCCTTCCTTCCTTCCTTCCTTCCTTCCTTCCTTCCTTCTTTTCTTCCTTCCTTCCTCCCTTCTTCCTTTTCCTCCCTCCCTCCTCCCTCCCTCCCTCTCTTCTCCCCTGGAAGACACTCTGTTTTTGCTCCATACCTGGCACGGGTACACCATACACATTCACCTCCTGAATAAAGTTGATCAATCCTAAAATATCAGCAACTTCTGTCGTGGCCACATTTTCTCCTTTCCATCTAAGGGAACAGAATTCATTTTAAAAAGCACAGAATAAAGCAACACTACGACTGTCCTAAATGAGTCCCAAGCACCTGCTAGAGGGGGAAACTCAAATTTAAGAATTGTATCAGAGGGACCGGGGGGGGGGAGAGAAAGGCTATCAATCCAGGGCTGATCAATCAGTCATTTTCTAGAGTCAATGAACTATTCGAGAAGATACAACTCAAGCAAGAAAAGATACATCCTCCGGTTACGGAAGGTTCATTCTACCTTGGACAGCAGCTTCAGAGGATGCTATTGCTAAGAAGTCTAGTCCAAACTATAGTTTTTGGGGTGCCATCAAATACTGCCACGTGTGGCTTAGCCTCCCACATAATATTTTAGACCATTTGACTACAAATTCATACCCTGTTTCCCCCAAAATAAGACATCCCCTCATAATCAGCCCAATCGGGCTTTTGAGCGCATGGCAATAAGGCCAAACGTTTATTTCAGGGTTCAAAAAAATATAAGACAGGGTCTTATTTTTGGGGAAACATGGTAGTGCTCTTTCAGCATGTTGGAATTGACTGACTGACTCTTAAATATTAAACTACAACTTCAGTGCTGAAACAGAGGCTGCCACATTTCAAAATACAATGATCCATCTATACTTATTTCCTGCTGACAGAAAGACAAAACAGAGACAGAGAGAGAGAAAGAAAGAGAGACAGAGAGAGAAACAAACCGGAATGTGTCTCCAACTCGATCATGGAAATAAATAAAGTTGTCACGATCAATCATTAAAAGGTCTCCACTGTTGAAGTACATATCACCATTCTGAAAAACATTTCTTAGCTTCTTCTTTTCGGTCAGGCTCTTCGATCCGGCATAACCGCTAAATGGAACCAACTGGGTGATTTTGCAAACTAACAGTCCCACTTCACCTAGGAGGAACACAAAACTCAAACAAAACCATAAAGAAAGTCTGCTGAATAGTAACACTGACTGCCTGAATGCATTGTAGGCCTTTCTGCAAAAGTTCTGTAATTGACAAAAATATAGCAACAACAATGAATATTTCATATCGGTCCATATTAATACCAAAGCAAACTTTTTCTTCCCACCCCCAAAGTTAACATACACCATGTGGCATTTGCAGTACCCCAAAACTAAATTAATATTTTCCATCGAAATTCTGGTGCAAGATTTTGAGCAGGTTTACAGAAATCCTAGGAGAGATTTAAAGAACTTGTATCCACATACTGGATATACATATAAAAAAATCTACTTGGGAGTAATAGTCTACTCGGGAATAGACCATAACTTCAAAGTAATCCAGTTTTTACTTTTAGCTCTGATCTGCACCAACTTAAATCAGGAGGCAGTCAGGAGCTCCAAATATTTAAGCATCTCCTTGAACATAGCTAAATGCTGAAGTGCATCATGAACTTGCTTCTTGATGCCAAGACTTGTTTGTACAAGATTGTAAAAACCTTGATGTGTGGTGGCACTAGTGATGCTTTGCTTTGAAATCTTAGATTAGTAAAGGTAAAGGTTCCCCTCGCACATATGTGCTAGTCGTTCCCGACTCTAGGGGGCGGTGCTCATCTCCATTTCAAAGCCGAAGAACCAGTGCTGTCCGAAGATATCTCTGTGGTCATATGGCCGGCAGAGAACGCTGTTACCTTCCCACCAAAGGTGGTCCCTATTGTTCTACTTGCATTTTTTACGTGCTTTCGAACTGCTAGGTTGGCAGAAGCTGGGACAAGTAACGGGAGCTCACTCCGTTACGCGGCGCTAGGGATTCGAACCACTGAACTGCCGACCTTTCAATTGACAAGCTCAGCATCTTAGCCACTGAACCATTGCGTCCCTAATCTTATCTTAAATTAGAGGTCTCCAAATTTGGCAACTTTAAGACTTGTGGATTTCAACTCCCAGAATTCCTCAACCAGCTAGCTGGGGAATTCTGGGAGTTGAAGTTTACAAAAATTTGCCCAGTTTGGAGACCCCTATCTTAGATCTAAGTTCTTACCCGCTGTAAGTATTTTTGGCTGGTTGTAACATGGATAGTTTTGCTCCAAACTCCACAGAAGATGACAGGAATGTTTCTGGATTGTTATATAAGCCTATAAATGATGGTACCAATCTATTGCTGAGCCCCGAACTACAGGACTCCTTCTGCTGCATATTCCTAAACATGTGATTGACTTTTAAAATCTTGATTTTTAAGCAAAAGTTTCTGTTTTGCCTGGCTTTTCAAATGGACTATAGAGCATTGCTTCTTCCTAAAAGCATAAAGACAGTTTGAAACATGTTATCTGGTGCTGAATTTCAACGGCAATTAAAGATATCAAAACGTAGGTACCTTTAGGAACTTTTATGCAATAGCCATTTTCATCTCTGACAGGTTCATCTTTCTCCACGTCATACTTAATGAGCTCGTATTGTACTATTTTCTAAGGAAAGCATAAGACCATTGGTATATTAGGGGTTTAACACAGAGATTCAAATGCTTTTTTTTTTCTTTGTACATTTGCAGTCCCTCCAGACAGGTTTAATCCCCTAATCATCCTGGTTGTCTTCTCTGCATTCTTTCTAGAATCTCAACATCTTTTTTATAATGTGGTGCCCAAAACTGGATGCAGTACTCTAGGTGTGGTCTTACTAAGGCTTTATAGAGTGGCATTAGATAATAGATAACAGAGACGTATCTGCAATAATGATGTTTTTAGGAAAGCCCCATACAAGTTGCTTTTCAAAGGAGGTTCCTAGTCGACCACCGATGGATGCTACGAAAAAAAAAACAATTGGTAAATACAAGTTAAAATAAATCTTTACTTTTTCATACCTTGTGGAAGTAATTCAATCTTCCCACAGCTCCGATTTTCCCAGTGTAATTCGCAAATCCAATATTGCCTTCGGTGGCCGCATAAAACTCATAAATACGCATGTCTCCAAATCTTCTGACGAATTCCCTCCAAATATCAGCCCGTAAACCGTTACCCACAGCCAGTCTTACCATGTGGTTCTGGTCGTTGTCTTTCTAGAAAGAAAGAGATCACCATTTCAGAAGAGTGTAAAAGATTTCTCGGAAGAGAACAAACAAATTAAAAAGCTTTCAGTCTCATAGTTAGAGAAGCATTCCATGCTGATTTACCAGAGGGAATGAATCACCTTTATTTAGGAACAGAAAATGATGTCCTGTTGAAGCTAGCCCAATATTTCTCAAGCTGTGTGACTTCCAGGTGTCTTGAGTTCAACTCCCAGAATTCTCAGCAGTGACCAAGGTCAGAGTAGCTAAGAGCTGTTGGAATTGATTTCAGCTCATCTAGAGACTACCAATAAAGGAGAATATTTGTAGCTCAGGGTTGAAATGAAGGGTCCTTGATGGTCTCTGAGTTTGGTGGCTTTCTTGCAGATGTTTCATAAACTAGGTAACATCATCAGTGCTAATAAGGAGTACCGTATTTTTCGGAGTATAAGATGCACCTTTCCCCTCCCTTAAAAAGGGGTGAAAATTTAGGTGCGTCTTATACACTGAATGTAGCCCCACCCACCCACTGGCCCCCACCTTTTGGCCTCTGCCTCACAGCAGTTACCTCCTTGCAAGCAAACAGCAAGAAAAAAGAGCTCCTTTCAGCTTCAGCACAGCCTAATTAGCACAAGTTGATTGGCTCAGCCTCCCGACTCTGAGCTGATGTGCTCTCAGCTGTTTTGCGCAGGGCTCTGCTGTTTGCTGCAAAGAGGTAAATTGCTGGAGCAGATTTTTTTTCCCTTGTGCTAATCAAGCTAGGCTGAAAACGAAAATGAGAGTAAAGCAGGCTGTTTGCTGTTTGATGTAAGGAGGCAAAATTGCTCAGAGGCAGAGGGAGATTTCTTTTTCTTCTTTTCCTCACCAGAAAAGGTAGGTGCGTCTTATACTCCGGTGCGTCTTATACTCCGAAAAATACGGTACCTTACTAGCATTGATGATGTTACCTCATTTGGGTAATCAAACATCCTTACTAGCACTGATAATGTTACTTGTTTGAGTAATGAAAGTTCTGGAAGGAAAAATCAACCAAACTCAGAGAGCACCAAGGACCCCTTGGATGTCCAAAATAAATCTAGGATTAATTCTTTTTTCCAGTCTCTAGACAGAGATATAGTAAGCTAAATTAGTGGCAAAAAAGGGACTTCCTCAGATAAAGTCTCTTTTCTCCATATAATAGGACAACAGGAAGGTATAAAGCTAGTGATCTTATAACAGGATGTGATTTAGTCAGTCCCTCCCTCCCCCTCTCCCTCTTTCTTTCTTTCTTTCTTTCTTTCTTTCTTTCTTTCTTTCTTTCTTTCCTTCCTTCCTTCCTTCCTTCCTTCCTTCCTTCCTTCCTTCCTTCTTTCATCTGGAAGTTGCCAAAGTAGGGAAACAGTAAACTGCACCAAGAAGAATAACTCGATAATCATTTACAGCCAATGTAGATGATTGTACATTGAATATTATTTGTACATCTGATTCAGTCGAAGACCCCTTCTGATGATCTTGATGTATGCACGCAAAATGGTTGAACGAGAAGTGAATCTTCTTTCTGTGCCCTCAGGGAAAAGCTTTAACGCCATCTGTGCAGGCGCAAAGCATGGCGTTAAACACACTTCACCAAATGTGCATTAAGGCGTTGAGTATAAGCACCTGGGAAGCCTTGTGTATTCATGGGTTCCATGACACTTTCTTACACACCATTGAGAATTTAAAAATTGTGTATTGTTTTAGTTAAATTTAGTTTACCCAAACTGTAAAAGTGGCTAATTCTAAATAACTTGGTATATTGAAGAGATGAATCTATCAGTTCGTTTTCCTTTTTTTTTTTCCTTCTTAGCTTTCTTAGCTTTCGCCCCCTTTTCTCCTTTGATTGTGGGCCTCTGAGATTAATTTTTCCATCTAGTAAAGTTTCTCTAGGGGGGAAACAGACTATTATCATCCTCCAGTTCTGCTGTTCGTTTGTTTTTTTGTTTCTCATTAATCCTTTTGTGCGTTAAGGAGAAAAATAAAAGCAGCTGCCATTAAAACTGGCTGTGTAAATAACCACAAAAGAAACACATTATGCCAGGGAGAGAGAAAATGTGGAACAAAATGGCTTGGATTTGTTGCTGCACATAAACATCTGTACAACATATATTGTTCACTTATGTGTAACTCTGCCCTGAGAAATTCATACCCATTTATTCAGATGTGGTAACCAATTACTACTATGTTGCATACAATAGTAGTATGCATGAATACTTCTGAAGGTGCAAAAAGAATCCTGTTTTTCCTGTTACTATAATAGAAATTGAGCAATATGCCTCCCAGTTTAATTGCCAGATAACAAAATCTTTAGTGGTTACAGATTTATAACACCTGCAGGCTAAGCACCTTCCACCAGTCAACGTCTCCTTGGATCATATTATCCCATCATTATCACAAATATGTGTTATTCAGTCTTGTGAGCACTTCCTTGGTTTATGCAACTATTGTACTTTGAACAATATGCTGGACAAAACATGGTTAAATATTCAGTATTGAAGGGATCCATTTGGCCAAAAGGGCAATTATTTATCTTAGATTGAGAAGGTGTTTTTGTGCTAGAATTTTTTCCCCCCGTGCACATAATCTGCTTAAACATAACATTCATTGATTTGCCTGAGACAAATCATAGTATTAAAAAATGTACCATCTGAAAATTCTGTAATTTCTGCAATCACAAATCTCCTGGATCACCAAAACAAATTTTGTAAGAATTTGTGGCCTTCCTGTCTCTTGCGTAACAGGAGAACAAATTAAAAAAAGAACTGCCCAAAGAATTAAGGATATAGAAGCACAAAATGACATAGCTATCCATAATAAGATGGGTAACTTGAGCCTGTAGTACAGTGGACTAAAGCACTGTTATTAACAACTGCTGCTTGCAATTACTGCAAGTTCAAATCTCACCAGGCTCAAGGTTGACTCAGCCTTCCATCCTTTCAAAGGTAAGTGAAATGAGGACCCAGATTGTGGGGGCAATAAGCTGACTTTGTATAAATATACAAAAGTATGAAGGCTATTGCTTAATGCATTGTAAGCCGCCCTGAGTCTCCGGAGAAGAGCGGCATACAAATTAAAGCAAAAAAAATAATAATAATGGCTGAGCAAATACAAACGTACTTTTCAAGCAGACAGCTATTTGAAGTTACAACTGCCAAAACATCTTAGGGAGATATTTACGTGAGCGAGATTCGAACAGCTTGACACAATGGCCAGATATGGGAGATTCCATTCTATACTCTACAATGAGCGTCTCTGCATTTGCGGAGCAGCAGAGGTAGAAGATCTGGCTCCCATCCTATTTGACTGTTGCTTGTATAAATGGGTAAGAGACAGGTATCTTGATCTATATACCAAATGAAGGACCCATTGGGATCCCCATATCAAAACAACTTACTTTATTGCAGCCAGAACCTGAAAATAATATTTAACACAGCACAGTACTTAAACCAAATGGTTCGGTAGAGATCTGCATACATGGGACTGATTGGAGTAGATTGCAAGGGTGACACCGAAATATAATTTTATGTCATTTTACTCTATTTTATATATCTATGTATCAAATTATATTGTATCTAATCCTATAACTATTGTATTTTACCCTACTTTTATTTTAAATTGTTTGTATAAGATTTTAATGGTGATATGGGTTTGCACCTTGTGCTTTGATATCGCCTATAGGCTAATCAATAAAGCTAACTAACTAACTAACTAGAAAGTAAAAGGAGGGGGAAAATACTTTCAGACTTGTAATTTGGTTTTAGATCCAATCGGAAAATTATTCTGTTAATGTAAACTTGTACTAAATGTAATGTTAATACTTGCAGTTTGCAATTCTTGTCTAGATTAACTCAAGGAGCCAACAAATGCCAAGCTACCTGGCTTGAAATCAGACAATTAAAGCCTAATTAGAGAAATTCAATTTTTAATGATCAAGGGAAATTATTTCTGTTTGGTGTTCTGTCTGGTGTCCTCTTTGAAAAATCTTTCAGACACTTTCTCCCCAGTCATGTGGCTTTATGCCTTCTTTAAAATCAAACAAAACACCTCCAAAGATTCTTCCAGAATCTCTTGTTTCATAAACCGTTTGTTTCATAAGATTGAAAGATTGTTTTCATAAACCATTTGTATCTGTTTGGTTTGCAGATGAGGGGGTTGTAAACTGATATAAATATTTAGAAGTGTAAATTTCCACTCTTTATATTTACAGAAATAAACTTCTATTTATTTGGAATTAACGGCTTCTCCCAATTGTCTTGAGCTGAGTGAATTCTTTGCTTTTAATGCTTTAATGCATTTAGTTGGAATAGTTGTACATAGAAGGCAAGCACCCATTCCTTTCATTCCAGCTAGGGGTGAAAAATGTGGTTTGATGTTTATTGATTGAACATCATCAAACATCAAAAAACCGGGAATTGGCAAAAAGCAGGAAGCGAGACATGAACCACAAGGAAGAGTTAAAAAAAGGAAGAGGACTCACTATTTATAACCTCCATATTATCTATCTGTCTACATCAAAAGACACAGAACATTCTAAAGCTGCTAAAAACAATATTGAAAGTAATTAGCGTGCCCTGTCCCATAGGGAGTGCCCTTTGGATATTCCACTCTTAACCCTTTTACGCATATAATATCAGAAGAGCGATGGAAAGTAGGACACCAGGGATCTTCCTCTTTTAGAAGAGAATATTCGTAGTTCCGGTTTGAACAGAAGGGTCCTTGATGTTCTCCAAGCTTGGTTGTTTTCTTGCAGATGTTTCTGTTGTGGTCCGCCAGCAGCCCGCGGAGCTAGCAGCGGAGTTGGACAGTGAGGAGGCTGGGGAGGACCATGGGCCAGTCCTGGAGGCTGGGGAAGGCCCAGATGAGGGCTCTGCATCGGAGGCAGAGCTGGGACCAGGGCCATCTGGGAGTGATGTGCGGACTCCGGAGCATCCAGAGGCAAATAGCAGAGCGGCAGAGGAACAGGAGGAGCCTCTTCCTAGTGCACGCATGCACAGAGCTGCCAGAAGGTAAGAGCAGCTAAAGCAAAAAGGACGACTCAGGAGTAAGGCCAGGAGATGTTTGGCCCCTCCCATAAGGCTTAAAAGAGCAGCAAAGGCTCTTGGGCTCTTTGTAGGAAAGCAACGTTGCTAAATCTGTTTTTCAGTCGGCGTCTGAGCTTCGTGGGGCTTTGCCAAGAAAGGCCTTTGGCAGGGTGTCAAAGAAGATAAAGGTTTGTGATAAGCCAAAGGACTTTTTCTGAAGGACTTGTTTTAGAATTAATTTGGACTAAGCTGGGAATGAAGTAATTCTCAGCTGTTATAATAAAAGAGTTTTGTTCGAGACTAATTGTGTCCTGTAATGACCAAGTGAGCCTAAGTCATAACAGTTTCATGATCAAACTAGGTGATGAGGTGCACTGATAATATTACCTAGTTTGGTAATGAAACGTCTGCAGGAAAACAGCCAAGCTCGGAAAGCACCGAAGACTGCACCTTCTTCTATTTTGCATGTTGGAAGTAATCCGTTTGGTGAACGGGGATGATGTATCCATCAGGGATAATGGGAAAGAGGTCAAATAAGGATTACCTTGGGCACATGGCATAAATAACGAAGCACTTCTCCAATGTACTGTATGACGGTCACCTTGTATTTTCTACAATCATCCCAAAACTGAGAAGCAGAGAATTTTGAGCGTAATACTAAGGTAGCGCCTGGGAATGAAGGGAAAATGGGAAATAAGTACACATTATATCTATCCACACATGGACATATGTTCTCAAACCTACTGCTGAAGAAAAGTGGTCTACCCAATACCTTCTTTGTTGTCTCTTTGGGTGGATACCTCCAAGTATGATAGAAGTCCATGACCAACTTCTACAGTTTGCATTCAGCTCAATATCTATCCGTTGAGCAACTCAACTCCGCTGCAGAACGAGAGTCATGGTTGCTGAGGGACACTACTATGTGATTAAATACGTCCATACTTTGAACTTGGTTCAAACTTGGCAGGCTCGCTACGATATACAAGATTTTGGTTTCTCTTCAGTGAGATGTTGGTCTTCTTACACAAGCTCTTACAAATGCATAAACTTGGGGATTTTATTTAAATTACACTGTATGAGTAAAATCTGAGGCCATAAATCATCAAATTGTATATTCTAAAGAGAGAAAACAGAATAAAGGTGAACAAAATGATAGACAGACAGACAGACAGACAGACAGACATGATAGATGAGAAAGAAAAAAGAAAGAAAGAAGAAAAAAAGAAAAAGAAAGAAAGAAAGAAAGAAAGAAAGAAAAGAAAGAAAGAAAGAAAAGAAATAAGGAAGGAAGGCAGGCAGGCAGGAAGGAAATTACTGATGAATCTCACTCATGGCATGAAACAAATGAGTGTTTGTAATATAATTATTTTAAAACCTAAACCATGAATCCCTTACTGGCAATATCAATTGTGCAAAATGTGACTTCCTTTCAGAAAAAGACATCAGCCAAAAGAAATCATTTTTTTCTCCTCATCAAACCAGCCTAGCCAGTTTAACAATAAGATAGCTGCCTGTAAGGTCTACATACCGAGCTACATAAAAAGGGTAGCACAATCAAACTTAATAAAACAATCGATCTTAGATTAACATATGATTGTGACCCTTTCTGATAATATGGAAAGGAGGGAGCTAAATTTTTGCTCAGAAGAAAGCTCCCCAGGGTAACACACTTAGAATACTGGTTTGCTGGTGTAAAAGTTTTTTCCATTCAGACTATCCACATCGTGTGAGGGGAAGAAGAAACCTCTTCCCTGAGGCCCTTGTACTAATCGAGACAGTTGTTGAGTTCCCCCACACCCTTTTATGGCCTTTCAGTATTTTCTAGACTTGGGGCTATAGAATTTATAGCGAAAATTAACAGGGAGGAAAAATGAGGAGCAGGTAGACAATTTCCTTCCTTTTTGAGTAAAAATGGGTGCTGAGAGGCAAATTGGATGGACCATATTTGACCCGCAATGAAATGTTTTCATATAATTCATTAAGAATCTTCCTAGAAGAAGGTTCTAGATTCATCCAGTGCTTCTTCCTGAAAAGGGATAGATAAAAGTGGAATACCTTTTGAACAATTGGTATGCTTTTCCACTAAGTCAGTGTTTCTCAACCTTGGTAGCTTGAAGATGGGTGGACTTCAACTCCCCAACTCTGGGAGTTGAAGTCCACCCATCTTCAAGCTTCCAAGGTTGAGAAACACTGCACTAAGTGTTTAAGACTATGTGATTCAGTGGCTAAGACGCTGAGCTTGTCGATCAGAAAGGTCGGCAGTTTGGTGGTTCAAATCCCTAGTACAGGTCTCCTGCGTGAGCAGAGGTTTGGGCTAGATCAGGGGTCGGCAACCTGCGGCTCTGGAGCCGCATGTGGCTCTTTCATCCCTCTGCTGCAGCTCCCTATCGCTGGTCAGCTCCACAATTGATAGGGCTTTCAGTTAGGACAGGTAGAGGAAAAAGGAGGCCACACTAGGAGGACACTCTATGGTTGGGGAACCGGACTTCCGGTCAGCTCCAGAATTGAACGGGGGGCTTCCGGTTAGGACCTTTGTGGCTCTTTGAGTGTTTTAAGGTTGCCGACCTCTGGACTAGATGACCTCCAAGGTGCCTTTCAACTCTGTTACTGTCACCTGTTATCTTGCTGATCTAAAACATGTTTTTTTAAACGAATATATATTTAGGCTTCTTACCTTGCAAGATGCAACCATTTAGTCCAAGCAAGAGGGCAGAGCTGTGATATAAGGGCAGAGTGGTATAAATGATGTCCTCCGAAGTGACGCCACTCAGTGTGATCAAACTGCAAGCCAATAATACACGGAGATGAGTAATCACTGCTGCTTTGGGGAGACCTATGTGGGGAAAAAAACAGGTAAGTTGACTTCCCAAGCTTGTGACCTGACCCTTTCCTTTAGGGAGGCCATATAGTAGCATCTGTGCACTGCAACGTTCATCATTTAATTTGGGGATAGATTGATTCTGTCTTTATATGTATATTTTTGAAAGAACATACATGAAAAAGCACTTTATCATGTTGAAAGGAGTTATTCTAATTTAAACAGCAAGTCTTAGAGAAATCCTATATCTATCTATCTATCTATCTATCTATCTATCTATCTATCCATCCACCCATCCATCTATCCATCTATCCATCTATCTATCCATCTATCATCTATCCATCCATCCATCCATCCATCCATCCATCCATCCATCCATCCACCCCTCTCTCTCTCTCTCTCTCTCTCTCTCTCTCTCTCTCTCTCTATCTATCTATCTATCTATCTATCTATCATCTATGTCTCCCTGTCTCTTTCTCTCTCCATCCATCCATCCATCCATCCATCCATCCACCCACCCACCCACCCACCCACCCATCTATCTATCTATCTATCTATCTATCTATCTATCTATCTATCTATCTATCTATCATCTATCGATCTATCTAGCATCTATCAATCTATCATCTATGTTTCCCTATCTCTCTCTCTCTCCATCCATCCATCCATCTATCATCTATGCTGTCTCTCTCTCTATCTAGCATCCTCTCTCTATCCATCCATCCATCCATCCATCCATCCATCCATCCATCCATTTATCCAATCTTCAGTATTTCTCTACTTTCCCAAGTACACATGAATTTACCTGGGAGTATTTATTTTATTGGATTGAATTTCTCAGTAAAATATGTTAAGAGTTGTCATGCAAGTCCTGCTCCTCAGCTAGCTTTGGCCAAGGTGATGTTCTCCCATGTTGAATATCTTCCATCATTCCCAATCACCACGTCCAATTTTTTTTAAGGAAGCAGGAACCGATTTACTTTTCTTTTACTGTACCTGTAGTTCCAGAGGTATAAATGTACATGGCAGGGCTTTTGAAAGTGACATCTGATCTCCAAGACTCTGGAACAGCCTCATCTGAAGCAGCTTCCATCTTGTCAAGGAAACTGTCCACCCCTTCAGTGTCGGACGTTCTACTTAAGAAATAAACAAGCACGTTTTCTTGCTTCAGGGTAGGCAATATGTCTTCAATGGATGCTTTTAAGTCTTTGAAGAGAAGAAGAGAAGTTATCGCGTTAAGAAGGAAGTAGGGAGTTGATTCATCGGTACCTGTGTTTTCTTATTTTAGATCAGTGTTTCTCAACCTTGGTAGCTTGAAGACGGGTGGACTTCAACTCCCAGAATCCCCCAGCCAGCACTGGCCCCAGAGTGAGGTGGGAATGGAGATTTTGCAGTATCCTTCCCCCAGGAGTGGGGTGGGAATGGATATTTTGCAGTACCCTTCCCCTAGGAGTGGGGAGGGAATGGGGATTTTGCAGTACCCTTCCCCCAGGAGTGGGGAGGGAATGGGGATTTTGCAGTACCCTTCCCCTGCCATGCCCACCAAGCTACACCACACCACACCACACCACGCCCACCAAGCCACGCCCACAGAACCAGTAGTAAAAGAATTTGGATTTCACCACCGTATTCGTCACTATTGCAAATGAAGTCTTTTCTTTAACTGGAGTCATCGGTTTAACCATCTCAGCCAATTCCATTAACTTCACCATCCACCATTTTGTGTATGTATGTATGCATGCATGTATGTGTATGGTACAGATATATATTTATGTTTGTGTATAGCATGTGTATATGTGTGTTATGTATGTGTTTGGGTAGATATACACTGTCTCTTGAAGAGCAGGCAACAGAATTTCATAGGCCATTGTGCTCGCAGTAAAAAAAAATGACAATAGAGTTATCTTATCTTATTTTGATGATACATTTGGAGCAGTATTAGCCATTGAAGTTGCATAATGCCTTGTCTTCATTGTACCGAAAGGGCCCTTGTGTGCCAGTTCATTCTGGAGAGGGAGGGCTGCCCTGCTTCCCCCGCCTTACCCATCTCTAAGTGAGCTAAGCTATTTCCTAGGTGAGGGTGATTCAATATCCCAGGGAATTTCTTTGCTCTTTCACGCACTGTTTTTTTTTTTTTTTTAAGACTCCTATAATGACACGAACAATAATTCTGCGGATTATTCCTGCGCTTCTGTTCTACGGCTCGTGAAACTTTGCCAAAAGAGCCACGGTGGCATTGTTCTCTTTTTGGAAAGCTTTATCAAGAGAATAAGTCATTAATAATATGCTGCAGATTGTGTAAATCAATCAGCACAAAGAGTTGGCAAGGCAGACGGTATCGGTGCTTAGATCCCACAAGTTCTGATCTGAAGGAATATGCAGAAAAGGGCAGGTTTCATCTTAAGTGCCATGGTGGGCTAGATCAGGGGTAATCCCACCAGATTTTGGGACTACAATTCCTATAAGCCCCAATATGACATGACCGTTGGCACCCAATGTTGTTGTAATAATGCAGTTGGAAAATATCTGGTAACCTATTATTACAAAAGAGTTGTTTATGTGGTTATTCATTCCAGTCTGAGTTACCCTTTGGACCCGAATGTCCAAAATAAATCTAGGATTTATTAATTAATTCTTCTTTTCAGTCTCTAGACAAAGATATAGTAAGTTAAATTAGTGGCAAAAAAGGGGCTTCCTCAGATAAAGTCTCTTTTCCCCATATAACAGGACAATGTGAAGGTACAAAGCTGTGATCTTACAACAGGAAAGTGATTTAGTCAGACTCTTTCTTTTCTTTCTTTCTTTCTTTCTTTCTTTCTTTCTTTCTTTCTTTCTTTTTTTTTCTTTTCTTTCTCCCTCTCCCCTTTCTTTCTTTCTTTCTTCCTCTCTCCCTCCCCCTTCTTTCTTTTTCTTTCTTTCTCTCTCCCTCCCTCTCTTTCTTTCTTTCTCTCCCTCTCTTTCATTGCACATGTACAAAAAATTGCAAAACAAAACTAGCTATTGATGAAAATAAAATCTCTGAATTGAATTAGTCCTCCAAACTGCCCAAGTGGATATGAACTGTTGAATAATATGGGGTGCCTCCAAAAATATTCCGATGGATTCAAATACTTCTGAACGTGGTATTTCTTTCCAAAACGATCCAGACATCTGAATCATATCAGTTTTCAGAACCAGAAGTCTGAATCCAATTCTACTGCAAATTCAGACTGAAAACCAGTATCAAATTTTGCCTGATTAAAAACATCCCTCTAAGAGAGTCCACAAGGTCTCTGTTCCCATGAACAGGTCTCACTCTACGGTTTGTCTGGTAGAACTCTGAACGTTGACATTCTTCTCTGAAACTTAACAAATGATGCACCAGGCCAAGCAATCACATTTTCTGTGCATTTTTCTTTTCCAACCTTCTGGCTTGCAGGTGAGAAGGATGAATAAAGGTCTGCTCGCTTTATGCTTGCCTTTTTTGGGAACTTTGAAGGCAAGGGACAAATCCCTCAAGTCTGGCAACTTCAATTCAACCTGTATTTCAAAGGACTGGTTATCACTTTTAAAACCTGAAATGGCTTGTGGTCAAGTTATTACTGGGACTGCCTCTCCCTGAGGGTATCTGCCTTTCCAGCCAGGTCATATAGAATGGATTTGCTCCAGGTCCCTTCTTTTAAATGTGATCTAGTGAGAACTGGAAAGCTCTCTGCAACAGCCCCTGCCCTGTAGAGTGATCTTCCCCTTAGATCTGGCAGCCCACTTCCCTACCATTTTGGAAGGCTTTGAAGAATTAGATTTTGGTTTTCCCAGTTGCAATGTATGGCTGTGAAAGCTGGACCATAAGGAAGGCTGAGCGCCAAAGAATGGAGGCCTTTGAACTCTGGTGCTGGAGAAGACTCCTGCGAGTCCCTTGGACTGCAAGGCAATCCAACCGGTCAGTCCTAGAGGAGATCAACCCTGACTGCTCTTTAGAAGGCCAGATCCTGAAGATGAAACTCAAATGCTTTGGCCACCTAATGAGAAGGAAGGACTCACAGGAGAAGAGCCTAATGCTGGGAACGATTGAGGGCAAAAGAAGAAGGGGACGGCAGAGAACGAGTTGGCTGGATGGAGTCACTGAAGCAGTCGGTGTGAGATTAAATGGACTCCGGGGGATGGTAGAGGACAGGAAGGCCTGGAGGAACGTTGTCCATGGGGTCGTGATGGGTCAGACACGACTTTGCAACTAACAACAACAACTAGCGTTGGAGTAGAGTGAGGCTGGGATCCAATAAAGGTGTGGTAAAGTATTTTGTTTGGGGTAGGGTGTGGTGGCGCAGGACTTTATGTAATGATGTCATAGTTTTTCAGTGTTTTCGCTGCTGTTTTGTGAGCCCCCCCTTTTTTCTGGGTTACAGTACCTAAGATATTATAAGTCTTTTAAAAACAACATCAATACAGTTAAATCAATGTTATCCCAGGTGTGTCTCATGGACTGCATTTACTTTGTCTCCTGTCCAACATCCCTACGCTCAGTCTTTCTGCTTAGCTGATCTCCATGCAGAATGGAGGGAAAAATAGTTGCATCCAGTAACGAGAAAGGAAAACTGGTGCAATTGTTCCATGACATATATGCAGATATCGTCTTGTGTCTTTCAGTACAATTTAACAACTAATCTGAACAGTGGATATGGAGAATGAAGCTGCACAGATTTCAAATCAATGAAATCGAAATTAATCAAAGAAAGTACCAACCTAAAACTATTTTTTTTTCCTGACAGAACAATTAATTGGTGGAATGACTTGCCTTCAGAAATTGTGGGTGCTCCAACACTGGAGGGTTTCAAGAAGAGACTGGACAACCATTTCTTTGAAATAGTATAAGGTCTCCTTCTTGAGCAGGGGGTTGGACTAGAAGACCTCCAAGGTCCCTTCCAAGTCTTTTTATTTATTTATTGTTTATTTATTGGTTCGATTTATATGCCGTCCTTCTCCAGAGACTCAGGGCGGCTTACAATGAGTTAAGCAATAGCCTTCATACTTTTGTATATACCTGCTTAGTAGGGCTTTTGCCCCCCCCCCCCAAGCGGTGTTCTTTTTTATACAAAGTCAGCTTATTGCCCCCACAATCTGGGTCCTCATTTTACCTATCTCGGAAGGATGGAAGGCTGAGTCAACCTTGAGCCTGATGAGATTTGAACTCGCAGTAATTGCAGGCAGCTAAGTGCTATTTAACAGCGCTTTAGTCCGCTGCACCACCAGGCTCCTTATTACTCTGTTACTCTGTTAATCTGAAAATCCCAAATTGGGGGGGGGGTGTAGATTTGGAAGTTCTCCCTTTAATACATTTCCCTTTCTATTGGGACGATTCTGGGACCAGATGGACAGCAAGGATGGGAGAAGGTTCCCATGAAGTTCTCATTCTCCGATTCAGAAAGGTTTAAAAGCCCCAGAGAACGGGAGGCTCCCCCTTGTATGGACCTGAACCACCTTCCCTGGCCCTCAGAATTGGGGGCTGGCTAGGAACCCAGGAGACGGTCTCTCCATCGCCAGGTTCTCTCCAGCCTGGAGTCGTCTCTCCATCACCAGTCCTCTCCAGAACTTTCCCACCTGCACCTAGCTGAGGCTTGAGGGGATGGAGACCCAACCCCCAACCCTGGAGAAGGGAAAGGACACCCTCTCCTCACCTGGGTCGGCCAGCAGGACCTTGGCCCCGCTGGCTTGAAAGCTGTGCACCAGCGACGGTCCTCGGATGTTGCAGTTGAGGCAGGCCAGGGCGCAGCCCAGCTTGGCGCAGCCCAGCCAGATCCAGAGGTAAGCGGGTTGATTGCCCAGGTAAAGGGCCACTCCGTCGCCTTGCCGGAGCCCGGCTTGGTCTCGCAGAGCCCGCGCCACCTGGTTGCTGCGCCTTTCCACCTGCCGATAGGTGTAGACTTCGTCTCGGAAGAGCAGGAGAGGCTTCTCGGGCGCCCGGCGCGCTCGCTGCCCGAACACCTCCAGCAAGGTGCGCGGAGGGCGCCGCGTTGCGCCCTGCCTGGCCCGCCGCCCCACGGCCATCAGCTTCAAGAAGAACCACAAGTCCTGGAAGAAATAAGAGCACGCCAGCCTCCCCAGCAGCGGCAGGAGCACCAGCCCTGCCAGCGCCGTGCAGAGGCCCGAGAGCATGACAGGTGCTCCAGACGGCGCCGTCCCTGCTGGCCGGGCTGGCGACAGGTGTGCTGAAGAAGCCACCGGGGGACCCAGTGGCACCGGAGGAGGGGCGTGTCCAGCTCCTATCCCCTCCCCCCCTCTCTCGCCCGGACGCGCAGCAAGAGGCGCAAAGTGCGCGCAACCGAGCCTCTGGAACGCTTTCCGCGGTGACCAACCTTCCAGCTAGGTATCCCCCCCCCCCGCGAGAAAAAGTTTCCCTTCTTGGTCTGTCTCTCAATTTCCCCCTCCCCTGCCTTTACACAGACAGGTAAGATTCTGGTGGCACCTGGAAGTGAGAAGGTAGCGTCTTTTAGCAGTAACAGAGTTGGAAGGGATCTTGGAGATTTATTTTTTTATTTTTATTTATTTTTTAATTTATATGCCGCCCTTCTCCGGAGACTCAGGGCGGCTTACAAGGCGTCAAGCAATAGCCTTCATACTTTTTGTATATTTTATACAAAGTCAGCTTATTGCCCCACACAATCTGGGTCCTCATTTCACCTACCTTTGAAAGGATGGAAGGCTGAGTCGACCTTGAGCCTGGTGAGATTTGAACTCGCGGTAATTGCAAGCAGCAGATGTTAATAACGGTGCTTTAGTCCACTGTACTAATCTAGTCCAACCCCTTGCTCACGCAGAAAACCTATACTAGGGATTCGAACCGCTGAACTGCCGACCTTTCTGATCGACAAGCTCAGCGTCTTAGTCACCTAGCCAGAGTCTTGAAGGCCTCGCGGGTGTAGCTGTGGACAGGCGATGTTGGCCAGGAGGTGGCTTCCCAAAGTGATTGGTCCATTTCTAAGATAACCCAAAGGGGTGGGTGGGCGGGGTGCTCCCCAATATGGGATGATGTTCCTGTGTTAGTTGACACTAGATCCTTCCATTCCCCACCATCCGGTCAGAGCTGAAGAAGCTTCTTGGATGAGAAGCGAAACGTCTTCAAAGAAAAACCAGAAAGTCCAGTTGCCTCCTGAAAAAAAGGACGTTTGGGACAACCATGACCTGGACGACTGGAAATCTCTACAGATGTTTTAGCTATGCAATTTGGGATGAACACCCTTCAAATGGTGTGGGAGTAGGAATGGATTTCCAGAGAAAAAAAATTGCGGACTACAGGAACCACTAGCATAGCATAGTCAGAGCTGCAGAAGCTTCTTGGATGAGAAGTGAAATGTCTTCAAAGAAAAACCAGAAAGTCCAGTTGCCTCCTGAAAAAGCACCTTTGGGATGGCACCAGATGTTCCATGTGGACTATCTTCTAGGATCTGTCTTGGTGGACTTCTGAGCATCAGCTGTTGCAGCAGATCTTGGTGGGTCACTCTGGGCCTGCTCAGCGAGGTGGTTTGGCTGTGAGAGATACCCAAAATCCAACTCCCACAGGGGCTTGCTTGGTGGGTGGTGGTAACAAGCAGCTTGACTGGTTGACATGAAAAGAGTGCAAGTCATGATGGTCATGCCATGATTCAAGACCCATCTCTTTGGGCATATGCTGCAGCTGCCATCTTGACTTTTTGGATCCCCTACCAACACCCCTGATAATTGCTCCCTTGGTTGGGAAATTATGCATCAAATAGCATGTAACCACTAGACCTCTGCACTCAAAATTCTAATGACATTCATGCCATGTTCTGGAGTGATGATGGCAGGCGGTGTTTCCGGTGAGCAGGGGCCTTCTGAATTCACACAACACGCTAAGCGTTTTTTTGGCGAAACCACAATAAGCTAGTTGCATATACTAGTTACAGTAATAAACTGCAGTTTACAAACTTCAACGGGTTTTACTGAAATTTGACAATACTTGACAATACGGCAAAAATCGCAGCACCATTGACAGTGTCCTGACATACAGCATTCTTGCATGGTATAGGCGCAGCTCTGTAGCGGACAAAAAAGCTCTACAGAGAATCATCAAAACTACCCAGAATATCATCGGACTCCAGCTCCCAACCCTGGATGACATTTTTGCACCTCGCTGTTTGAGGAAGTTGCATAACATTCTCAGAGACTCTTCCCATCCTGCTTACAATCTTTTTGGACTGTTGCCTTCTGGCAGAAGATACAGAACAATTAAAACTCGGACCACACGTTTTCTGAATAGTTTTTATCCCAGAGCTATAATTGCACTCAACAATGAACTAAAGGGCCACCATCAGTGAGCTGTTGGACAGCATGACTTGGTCTGTTGTGTGGATGGTTTTCATTCATTGGCATCCTTCAGTCTCAAGAGACTATGGTATCGTGCTCTGGAAAGAGGTCCTAAAACAGCATCTGGTGTGACTAAAAAGGCCAATTCAAGAGTGGCAATCCCTTCCACACTGAGAGCAGATACATTCTGTCCCCTGCCCAGCCTCCAGATTTCGCTGGTTCCGGGACGGCCTCTTTGCCTCAGCCTGCCGAACAAGTGTCTCTTCGAATTGGAGAAGGCCATGCTGCGTCTTTGGATGGTTTTAGGGGTGGGGAATTGTGGTGGGTGGGAGTGTGTTTGTGGTTGGGGGGGGAGTTGCGGTGGTGGGGATTGTTATGTGTGTTGGACCTGGTCTTTGGGTGTTAAGTGAATTTCGTTGTATGGGTATACTGTATATACACGTACAATGACAATAAAGTTATTATTATTATTACTGTAGAAAAGTAAACTGGGCACAGAATTTAATTCTTGAAAATTATGCTTCTATTATATACAGGTTCATAACAAGTCTGAAACTTACAGTACATTTCCCTTAACGTGGTTTGATATTCTAATTTTCAATGATCTGTTAAATAAAGATAGATTTTTCACTATTTGGACATAAATTACACGAATTTCTTATTTTATGGTTTATACTCCACTGCTTATTGCTGTTGAGATCTATTTATTACTTTCATTTTAAAATGCTCTGCAATTTTAAAAATGGTGTAAAATACTGGAATACTGAAAATTCATGCTTGACCAACGTAGTTCTTTTAACTTCTATAAGTGAACAGTGAAGTATAAATTCACTGTTTCTTTTTTCCTTCTTTCCTTCTTTTTTCTTTTCCTTGCCAAATTTTTAATAAAACTGGAATAATAAAAAATGAAAGATAGAAAGCATGCCCAATATAGATGGATGCTTTGTGTCCACTTTTGTTATTAGTTGCGAAGTCGTGTCCGACCCATCTCGACCCCATGGACAATGTCTAATGACAATGTCTAGTGAGAAGAGCCAAATGACCCCAGCATTAGGCTCTTCTCACTCACTCTACTCCAACGCTAGTTGTTGTTGTTAGTTGCAAAGTCGTGTCTGACCCATCGCAACCCCATGGACAACGTTCCTCCAGGCCTTCCTGTCCTCTACCATCCTCTGGAGTCCATTTAAGCTCATGCCGACTGCTTCAGTGACTCCATCCAGCCCCCTCGTTCTCTGTCGTCCCCTTCTTCTTTTGCCCTCCATCGTTCCCAGCATTAGGCTCTTCTCCAGTGAGTCCTTCCTTCTCATTAGATGGCCAAAGTATTTGAGTTTCCTCTTCAGGATCTGCTCTAAAGAGCAGTCAGGGTTGATCTCCTCTAGGACTGACCGGTTTGATCGCCTTGCAGTCCAAGGGACTCGCAGGAGTCTTCTCCAGCACCAGAGTTCAAAGGCCTCCATTCTTTGGCGCTCAGCCTTCCTTATGATCCAATTGTGTCCACTAGAGGGAATATAATACTGTGAAGTCTCAGTTCCTTTTAAACAAATACCTCATTCAATAGCAATCGTATTGTAATCAGCATGTGGAAGTAGTAAAACAACAGCAAACCAAAAGTGAGTCATTTTTTAACGAGAGAGAGAGAGAGAGAGAGAGAGAGAGAGAGAGAGAGAGAGAGAGTGTGAGTTTTAAGCAGGTTAGGTTGGTTTTGTGGGATTGTGTTCAATTTCCCTTTAATTTTTTTTTTTGAAAGACAACTTTTTAGATTGCTCCGAGATAAACTGAATGTTAAGGATAAGCGTGTCAATGCTTGCTAACATAAAAGTCTGGAGTTTGTAAGGTATATTTTCTTAGGCTTGATTTTTAATCCTATTTTTTTTGGTGTGAATTTGCTGGATTTTCTAGAGAACCAGTACCGGAAATTTTGAGTAGTTCGGAGAACCAGTAGTAAAAATTCTGACTGGCCCCGTCCCCATCTATTCTCTGCCTCCCAAGTCCCAGCTGATCAGGAGGAAATGGGGATTTTGCAGTAACCTTCTCCTGGAGTGAGGTGGGAATGGAGATTTTACAGTATCCTTCCTCTGCCACGCCCACCAAGCCACGCCCACCAAGCCACACCAGTTAATGCCATTAGATAAACTTCTATTGGGGACAGAGGAGAAAATGATCAAAGCAATGTATAAATTTTTACTAGAATACAAAATGGAGGAAGAGCATGTTAAAGAAACGATGGTAGTATGGGCAAAAAACTTTGGGTACAATATCAAATTAGAAAAATGGGAAAAATTGTGGAATAAGAACTTTGGCCACATCTTACAAAGAGAACCTATACAAAATGTTTTATAGGTGGTACCTACCTCCAGCCAGGCTAGCCAAAATATATAAAAAATTATCACCTAAATGCTGGAAATGTGATCAAATCCTGGGCACCTACTACCACATGTGGTGGTCATGTAGCAAAGCAAAAGAATACTGGCAAAAGATTCGAAGGTGGTTGGAAGAAATGACTGGACAGAGATTGGAACTCAAACCAGAAATATTTCTATTAGGAATTATCAAAGATGATTTAAGCAAAGGGTTAGCTTATCTAATACTACATACTTTAACAGCTGCAAGAATAGTTTATGCTCAGCAATGGAAGAGTGGAAACATACCCAAAGAAAGAGAAATAATAAAGAAAATATATGACTGTGCGGAATGATTGACATTAGAACTGAAGAATAAAGGAGAGACAGAATACTATGAGATTTGGGGTAGATTTTATCAGTGGTTGGAAGTAAGGAAGAGAAGTCAGAACGAATAATCATATGGATGCATAGATTGAACTAAGAGGCAACCCTAACCCTAACCCTTTTTCTATAAAAAAGAAAAAAGAAGGGGATTTCTTTTCCTTCACACATCTCATTTT